TATATTCGTTATGAATGTGTAAACATCTATTAGATGAAGTATTGATCAACTATGTGAACTTCCACATCATACCTATTCACAAAGACGAAAACAAAGTACATATTATTCTGGTTTTTGATTGTTAGTTTGAAGTTGTTAATGAATATAGAGTAGTCATACACCATGAGTAGTAGATGAGAACACTGGGCTAATGAGAGACACAGTAATTAAGTGTTCTATTAGAGATGATATAATGTCCTGCTGTATGAAGTAGAATAAGTGACCTTTTCTTTCCTACCAGTAATATATGGATAAGTCAATAATCGATGCTGATTTTATAGAAATAATTGCATCTATTTGTAATTAAGATGAGAATAGCATGGTGAGTAAATAATCAACTAATTTATAGATAAAAGAGAAAAAACACAAAAATTCACTATTTTACGAAAGTTTCGTCATAGATACATTGGTTAGGTTAGTCGACTGTATATGTGAACAGAGGACCGTGATATAGTACCTTGCTGATCCGGGATGGTATAAAATTATAGGTTGTAGGACAGTGTCATCTCAATGACCTAAAAGGTTATAACTTTTAGTGTAATTAGACTGTCAGTGATAAACATTATCTGTGACGTAAACAACTACAATGGATATTTGTTCTGCGTTACTGTAGGATGAACGTCAAAGCAACTATTATTTTGAACAATGTGATCACATATATACTTATTAAGAACATTTATATATAAAAATAAAAGGTGAAGTTTATTAGAAATGGAGGGTAAGAGGAGACAGTAATAATACAGAAAATAATCTGAAAACAATTTGAAACCTCATCACTCAGGATTACATACTAATATTACCTGGGTTGGTTAAGGATGACAACAAACCATTTTTGAGTACATAAAGAGGATTTGTATGCCTAAAGCCTCAATAAACCATATTATACTCCTTTCCACACTTTTATTCAACAACACAAAAGTTGTTTTAATATCGATTTTGTGACCTGTATCAACTGTGCGCATAGAAGATTGTGGATATTTATCATCTACTTTTATTGGGTTATTTGATTTCACTTGTTTCTGCAACCCAATTGTGCATTCAAAAACAGTTTGTTCTCACCCTAAACCTATCCTGATAATATTAGCTTATTATCCAGCGTGATGAGGTTTCAAATTGTTTTCAGATTATTTTCTGTATTATAACTGTCTCCTCTTACCCCCCATTTCTAATAAACTTCACCATTTATTTTTATATATAAATGTTCTTAATAAGTATATATGTGATCACATTGTTCGAAATGTATTGCGCTAATATATCATATCATTCTTATAATCTTCGTCTTCGTATTACACTATCGAAATTTATCGAAGAGACTAATTGCTTCAACCACTGATCCTTTTGAGTCTCGCTTGCTAAAGAAATCAAATGTCTCGTGTTTATTTATGGGAGCAATCTGTAAATGAATTTATGGAGTCGAAGATTTTTTTCACTAATTCTTATTTTTACCTCATGCTTACATTTGTTAATGGCTGTTAATGTTTTAAAGGTTTTACCAGGGAGTACAAGCTTAGTGATTTATCTAATGATAAGATAATTCTAAACAACCTTTGAGAAATATGATGAATCTTTACATGAATAGCTCTTTGTACCTGATCAACATCGTCAAATATGAGATAATCGCCTCGAGATATACGCTAGTACGACAGATTAAACAACAATGGTTCCGTTCAGAATTTCTCCACGATTACAGATAAGAGAAATACTGATAAGAGTTTTAAGAAAAAGTTCGTTTCATAGTAGGCAGATGTGGAAGAGCTAGAAAACAATCCTGAATGTTTAGAAAACCATTTATTTCAAGGAGTTGTTTACGAATAAATCATCAATCTCACTATGTTGTCTGAAGTCAATCGACCCTAACTTAACAGTTTAAAAGACGCACATTTGTCCTACCATCTCTGCCTAATCTATGTCTGAACTTCAGTAAATTAATTATTTTTGAAAATCTACTCACATTTAACCATTCCACTGACACGCAGGTTGATTTTAAGGTTGATAACCTTTTAATTACATCATCATATCTATTCGTTTTTCATTCGTTCTCAGGGAATCAATACTTAATTAATTTTCATTTTATTATAAAAATGCACAGCTGGATAATTAATTCGTTGAAAAGCGATTCTTTCGCTGAGCTTACGTGATTGACTGCTTACAGTTTTATGCTTAGAAAAAACGTTTCTTATCATCAGTAAAAAGTAATGTCAGACGTTACCTATTGTGGAACAATGTCTATATAAATCAAGGAGAGAAGAGGTCATAGTTAGAACCCTGGGGGATCCCAATAGGACATTCCACAGGCTGAGAGAAATTTTAGTTAACCCTAATCTTAAAATGTCGATTTTTTAGATGTGAAGTGGGCCAGTCAATTAGAGGTGATTTGATGCTCAATCGTTTGAGCTTATTGATAAGACATACGTAGTTGACCTTATCAAAAGCTTTTGAGAAGTCAATGCAAATGATGTCAACTTTCATCTTGCGATCAAGGATGGTTGTCCATGTGTTCACCACAGACACCAGATTGACTATACAAGAATGATCCTTCCTGAAACTATGTTGTTGGGGTGATAAAAAGTTTAAGGATAATAAACAGTCGCGTTTACCGTCACATATCAGGGACTCCATAATTTTGGAAGGTATAGAGAGAACGACCACTAGTCAGTAGCTTGAAGATTCTCTGCGTCGAACTCCTTACAAAATTGGTGTGAAGCTTCAAAGTTTCCGGTAGTTTGCCTCGGCTTAGCGAGTGTGAAAACATCACGCTAAGCGGTGTTGCCAGGTTTGAAGCTGCTTTTCTCAGTGTAACAGCATGAATCACATCCTGGCCAGGAAAAGTGCCATTTCTTAGGTGCTGCAGTTTCCGGAACACCAAGTCAGCGCCCAGGTTCACTTCGCGAAATCCTGTGGAGTTGCAGGCGAAACTTTCAACGATATAGTTTATGTGGGCCGGTTGAAATGTCTGGGAGTATTATTCAGGCAGACTATTTGAATTACCTGTACGCGCCGTTATCAGTTTGTTTGTATTCCGCCCAAAAGTGCCTTTTTCAGACTAGCAAATGACAATTTGAAGGAAAAACTGCTCTGTAGCATGTAAGATCGTGTTCAGTAAGAAATATCAATGAGTATCAACATCAATCTGAGGGTGAATTTCCAAATCCACCTGTTGTAGATAGTCCTGTGAAGAGGACACATTCAGTCGTTCAAAACTCCAGCGTCTGTTGTTGACAAAACTGAAGGCTATGACGGCGTGATCGTTTCTTTCCAGAGGAGCCAGGGTTGAGAGGTTTTCAACTAGGAATTTTCGTTTGTAAATACCCGGTCAAAAGCCGACGGTGTTCGACCTTAGGAATGTTGAAATCCCCTATAATCAGGACACGTTCTCAAGGATTCGTGACAGCGTTTAACTATCATTCCGTAATATTTATAGCGACTCACGTGCAAATGAGTTAAGTCTCATCTAACGCAATTAAGCCCTTTTGCTAACTCATTTAGCGGACAAAGTCATCCGCACTATAGCAACTTATTGTACCTTTATTATTTTGTGCGTGTATGAAATACGTATGCTTGAATATTGCTTACGGCCTACGCATTTATTCACTCTGCTAATTTTACTACTAACTAATTATTTGATTCAATTACTCATTCATTTCACATGTTATATATATGTCCAAGTTATTCATACTCACTCACTCACTCACACATTCTCGTCTCACTCTTGCTATGGCTCTCGCTCGCTTGCTTGCCTTTCAGCACCACTCTTCTATACTTGTTTAACGCATCTCTACATTTGGATATATGTGTGTGGTCTCGTAATTAACGTAATCAACACTTAGTATTTGCCTTCTGATTAATAAACCGTTGGAACGTTATATAGAACGGTTATCAAGACGAAGTTTAAAGATTATATCGAATACCGACCACCACATATTTCTCATTTTTCAATAAATATACCTCGGTTCCTACCTGAAGGTATCAGTGATCCGTTGCTACCGGATTCGGAAGCCCGTTAAGTGAAAGCTTCATCTTTTCCGTCCAGAACCATTTGAAACTTTAGTGACTCGGATCCAACTACAACTCGATCGTATGACTATCGTTATCGAAATATACATGTTGTCAATCCCCGCATATAATGATCAACTTAAATCGCGTAAATGAGAAACGGACTTAAACAAGTCAAATACGAGAATGATTTTCGAATGTGTACATACAGCCATACAATCGTTAGTCCGAACAAAAGATCAAAGAAACGAAACATGTGAGCTAACACCATTTAATCAAGCGGTAATCAATATTTATAGCCAGACAAAAATAAGTTGCATACATGAAATGAATAGGATAAGAAGTACATATAGATATATGTAAAAGCAGTCAAAGATGATAAGCAAATGAATAAGGAGTTCAAAACGTGCGTCAAGAAGAGTGAATAAATTGGCCTATCCGTAAGCTAGAATAAGCTATGTGAGCCTGCATAACACTCGACACTACGAAATCATTTAAAGACTTATGAGAAATAAGTGGTTCGCATAATGCTTAGCACAGTAATTTCTGTAGAGCTTCAATGAATGGTAGTGATATTCTTGTTCCCGTCATCAGCATATTTTATTGTTTTATAACCACCATGACATATAGTAATACCTATCAGTTAATTAATTTTTCACAATTCGATTACGGTACTATGAACTGACGTTCACTACGCGTCTCGTGCCCACAACTGAATCCAGTTTAATATTTATATAATTTCACATCAACGTTCCTTCCACATACATATGAACCAAACTGGTCGAAAATGCACTTTAAATTCTCAACGCGTCTTTTTATGTAAAAGGAATCCACTTGAACACTTGGGTACAAATAAATCTTGCTCATATTATTGAGTTGAAGGTTCAAAAGAAAGGTTGAGTAAGTCGGCCGTGGAGTCGGTCGACCAGTTCTGAAGTAAAACTATTGAATTTATTCATGTTGAGACCTTCTCACGGTTATATTTCAAATCGAAGGTCATAGTGCGTTGCTTTTGATGTCACGTCTATTTACCCTCTTTCCCGTATTGATATCTTGTATGTGGTAGTTTTCCATCTTTACTTTTAATATTAGGTGTGCGCCATGGCAGAAGACCTCGATTTATTCGTCCATATCTGAAAGACTTATATGGTAGAAGACTTGCTCAAGGTCCAGAGATTTATCGACCCAGGAAAGATTGGTTATGCTGGAATCGTGACTCGGAATTATGTGCGTTTTTGTCGAGAATTGGTGAGAATTTAGAGAAAGACCTTATTGAGGTCGTTCTGACAGATCGGTAGTTACTGAGTTTTCAATTGAAAATCATACCGTGTATTCAATCGTAGATCATATTCCTCGTTTTGGTCTGTAAAAACGGCCGAGTCAGACGGAAAAATAATGCAAGACAACTCGGAACTCGCTGCTCTAGGTAAGGAGTTGACGATTAAGATTTATGTTCGTAGAAATGCTTGACTTGTTAAGAAACTTAAGGTTATTCGCTAACTAATATCATCTTTAAATTCATGTATATTGAGTTTCAACCATTAATAACATGTCTGATAATTATTTAGTATTAACACCTCATATGTCTCATCCACCAATTTCTCAGGGTCAAACAACATGTATTTTGTTACGGCAAATACATGTAAAATTCAGGATAATGCAACGTGTAGCAAAAACACTTATTTTTATCGATTTAATTGGTCTGTCAACCTTCACCAGCAATGGTACCTGTCTTTACGAGATCTTCCGTTTTCTAGTTATATCTAACATGCACAAATTATGGGGTTTTGCATCTGTGTTGACTTCATAAATCAGCAACATTAGCAACAGAATTCAGAAAATATACATTCGTTTTGGTGCATCCATTGATGTTATCAGCTTAACTATGTGCTTAGAAGGCTTCTTGCAGAATCGCGTAATTGTTTAATGACAAGTGTTGAAAATTAAATAGACAAAATGCAGTCTGAAACTCAATTAATTATAGTATATACATCTATCTTAATCTGATACAGGTTTAAATTCGGCTTGCCTTAAAAGGTTAGACGAAACTACTGAGCGTCTACTAATTGCGCAAGCAGTTGAATCCCGCAAACTCACTTGGATTTGAGGTAAAGGGCAAAAACAAGTTGACCGCATTAAGTTGACTAGTCAGTTATGGTACGTAAAACTTGGTAATAAATACAAGACGAAGTGAAAAATCCATCAATGAAAGGTATTAGTAGGTAGTCTTTATGAACGGTTAAAAATACTCAGTTGGTTTATGACGCGTTGAGATGAAAATGTTAAGGCATATCTCAAAGTAGTAAAGATAATAAAGGTTTCAGTGGTTAAAGAAAAAATTAGACATCGAAGATACGATTCAAGAAAACCTAATTCATTGAAATAAAAAACACTGGAGAATTCGGTATACATAATGGGTGCACCTGCAAGACTTTGAGCCATATTATTTAAAGTCTGGCCACTGGTTATTATAATTACTCGGGCAACAACCAGGTAGTCTATACCTGTTGATGTGACTACTGAGCCACAGGAATAACTGCTTGGAGCCGGTAGCACACGACTTTTTTATGGGAAGCTTTGTATGTGTTAGTTGTGCACTTCAAAACGCCTTATCACTGTAGACATTAATCTGTGGGTTGAGGTGACATTTCTTAGCTTTTTCCTTGCGTTGTGAGAAGGCAGCATCATCATACATACTAGTTGTCTGGTGGAAATACCTTTTATCACACTCATCCACAGTCAGTTGTACGACTTTGAATTAAAATTGCTTCTTTCAGCCGTACGGTCCTCGACCCGACATGCTTGATATGGCAGCATCTAATACAACATGTGGTTCATCTAGTATAGCTCAGTTGAGTCTTCACGATAGGTAAGCCTGACCACCACACCAAAATAGCAGCTAAGGTATCCACAATACCATGCAACTGTACTCCGTCTATCTGTTATCTACTTATTCTATTGTTAGTTGTTCTAATTTATCAATCATCAGAATGTTTCCTTACCAAACTTTAAGTTTCGCACTTTAAATGAGTATGTAAAATAATACCTGTGTGGGAAGACCGAATTATTTGCTTGTAGTTCTCTTCGGAAGCCAAGTTGACGGTCATTAAAATACTCAAAACAATACTTTGTTTCATTTGCAAAGGTTCTTCTAAAGGTAGTATATTATACGCTTCAACCTTGTTAACCCCTTATTCATCTTTGTAACAGTACGTGATAGGTCTTTCGGGGAGGAAATACAATTTTTCATAACAGTGAAATGCAAACTGTTGCGTTACGTGATAAAGTTGTACTATTTAGCTCGTAAAGTGCCTAAACGATGTTTAGTTCACCAAAAATAGTAATAAATCAATCTCTTGCATAGCGAATGCATGATTGTGAACACGGCCTTTGATGGTTGGTGTCTAGCCATATATATCTGAAAACCATTGTTCGTCTATGCGTTTCTGAGGTTGTAGGTGGAAAAATAGATCAAAGTTGTCGATTACAAAGACTGTGAATCTTCATCTACTGAGGTAGCTCAGTGTATGTAACATCTTCCGATCACCATTTACACCAATCTACAGTGTTGTATGGCATAGGTATGTTTCGTAAAAAAGTTAGAATTGATTAGCATTGGGGAAAGGATATGTTTGTATTTTACTCACGTATATCACTTATGGTTTAGTTTCTACCTGAATATCTTTTTACGGAAAATTCGTCTGCATAGTTTATGTTCATAGTGTAAAAACTTTTTTCTTATGATTATGGCAGTAAAATTATGTTGTTCATATAAATGTTTAGTAGCTCTTCACACAATCTGAAATCTACTTCATTAACTAAAGTTTAGATTTTCATGGGTCTATATTCTAGTACTTGGAATATCAAAAGATAAAACTTCGTTGTACAAGTGTTTCGCATTGGTTGATCAATTCGGATCGGAAATAGGTCACAAATTATCATCTATTTGATCTGCATATGTCATAGCACCCGTATTTTACTGTGTCCTCTTACATGTGTATATTATTGAACGTAGCCAGCTGTCAGGAAGCATCACATTTCTCAACAACTAGGAGTTTCTATTTACTTTTAAATGATTCATTATTATGTAGTTTTATACGATGTATTATTGACATTCATTTAGTTCATATCGAATATATCATCGTGTAATAGTTTTTGTTGAATATCTACTAAAACTCATGAACTTTAGTTAATCTGCCGTATTCTTTATATGTTTTTGTTTACTTTGTAGGATTTTCTGTTTCGGAAAATTTTTTATATGTCTTCTTGCGATCAGTGTATCCCCGATTCCCTGAAGAGTGGATTATGACTATCGTTCAGTATTTGAAGTCACCTTCTGAGCTCGCTTTTATAGCCGCTCACTTAGGAATTAAAGATATAGTATTGTACAGTGATCAAGTAGATTATTCAAGCAATAAAATTATATCAGCTCCACCGAATCTGGATGTTTTAACTCACGCACTTATGGCTTTAGTCGGTGCTTTAGCAAAAGACAAGGTGAATGTATTCAAAAAAACTTGCCTTATTTCCCCTAATCATGACTAATATTCATCCATATATGATTTAATCGTTTTTTTTTAAGAATTTCACTCAAATTAGTAATGAAATTTATTTGTTCACTTGATTGAATTGCTGAAAATAAAAAAGCAATATATATATATATATATACCAAACATTGACAGACTTCGGTTTTAGTATGTATATGTTGTTAGATTAACAATCGAAATATATTATGATCTATAAAATGTGTTCACAATAATAATTTTTTTAATAACTATTATTATTATTGTGACTTAGATGGAGAAAGCACATTTGTTTATTCGGGATTTCATACTAGCAAGACTTCCTGATATAGATTTAACTGAACTGATTTCAATTCCTAATCCATTACCCCTTCTACAGGGTATACTTCAATCTGAAGGACGTGGCCCACCTGAAACCAGGTAAGTGGTATGTAGTAGTTTAAAATCATGTTTTCCTAAAGTTTGCCCCTTCATCTTTAACTGTTGTGGGGAAGAAGATAACAAAAAAATACATTCGAAATTCCTTTGTTTATGAAACTACGTATTGAATTGTTAGTTTTGCAGATGAAAATTTGGATTTAATTTTATTATTTAGTTAATCAATAAAAATCAACATAGGACTTGACATCAATATTTAATAACTAAAGTTGTTACATCATATCAACACTGTGAAATTAAATTTACAAAATGTAAATGGCTAATTGAGTAGCCAAAATGATATAATCGTATAAATGGTAGTCAGAAAGAGTAAACATCGAAAACACTGTTCAGAAATGAAGGAATAAAATAAAGAGAGAAAAAAGTGCAGAATATTAGCGATTTCCAAGGTCCAGCAAAAAGTAATTTAAAGATTCAAATATATATAGAGCATTGTGATTAATTTTAAGTTGGATTAAATAAACTCTATTTTATTCGTACATATTTGTGATGACGATTTGTGTGCTCAAGGAAAGGCTTTTGGAATTACCTAGTTGTTTAGACTGGATTATTTGATAGTAAAGCATTTATTAATGATATATAGAGAGACAAAAAAGACTACCATTAAAATATTCACTTCATAGAACACAAGTCTCCTAGTAATTTCGCTCTCATCCTAATTTGTCTAATCTAAAATGATAAATTATTTACTTTGAAATGTAATTCAAACAAGTTTGAAAAAAAATACTCAGAGCCTCGCTATGTAATTTTCTTTCTTCGAAACATTTTGTTGATTAGTCACAATCTCACCTCTTGGAATAGAAAATTCCAATTTTTTGTGAAAATAGCTCACTTCACAATATAGAAGCACACTGAAGTTATTGGTTGAACATAGTTTTAAATTATGACATACTTCTAATCATATGTAGACACAATGCTAATATGTAATAATTTTGTGTATATGAATGTAATAGATAATCTATTTGGTCACTTCTCCTTACAGATTAATTTATCAGTCAAGTATGAATACTGTGCTAGCCTGTTTTGAAGTTGGTATATATAGTGATTGTCAACTCATTGGAGAAGGTAAACAGCATATTCTTAACATTTAACACATACAGGATGTTAAGATTTTTATGATGGATTTATGTAACCCAAATGATGTGCAACTGAATATCTGTTCTACATTTATACTGTTAAATGGTTGTTCAAGATACAGCTCATACTGTAATAGCCAACAAAACATCAGGAATTCGGCCTATATTTATTGTTTGGGATTTTGAGTTTTTGTAAGCCTGTGGGAAAGTCATGAATCGGCTGTTAATCCATACTCATGGAAACCGCAGCATGTCCATTCACCGATTTGTTTGTTGAGTTACTTATGTGGCTACAATTAAAGAAAGTACTTGTAAAAGTCAGGTTAGAACTAAATCATGGCAGAGCATACACCTTAACAACTCGAACGAATAACCAAGTTAAACAACGAGATTTACAAAAATGTTGGTAGTTATCTACCATTACTGTCATAAGATTTGTGGTTAACTACAAACTAGAGACTATTCTAGATATACAAGAAGTTTTAGGCAACAAATTCGATGACAGATTGTGTACCTACATTTAATTAGATGTGGTACAAATGATGTTAATGGTATTAATGCTGGTTAGGGAAGATATCAGAGGTTAAACCAAGTTGTTGTAATGTTAATTTTGTAAACTTTACCGATATTTTGTGAGCTCTTAATAAATGTACATTGTTCAAGGGTAGCGAGGAAGTAGTAAATAATGAATTAATAGTTAAGAATCATTGATTGTTTAATCAATAGGTCCCAGATATGAACCCTGTTCTGTTTCTTCAGATTTTGGCAACTGAAATTGTACCGTCACTAGTTCTAACGAACAGGTTGCCTCAAAGTCGTTTTCACATCACGAATGGCTTATACTGATCACATAATTGTGGGTGAGCAACACCTGAATATATATTACTAAAATCAATTATAAATTTTATGATATATGATTTATTCGTATTCTGTAACTTGAGATAAATAACAATCGAGTCGGTTATTTTTTATACGTATGTAGTGTTATTAGCATGTTGTTAAGATTGATGTTTGTGATGATTATGAAAAGTAGCCCATGAAATTTATTATCAATTAAACCGAGTGGATTTTTAAAAATTTCATTTTTATGTACACAACTAGAGAAAAGCAAATACTATGAATTTCTAAATCAGTAACAAGTTTATACCTCGGCCTGTTTTATAATAATTTGTCTATTTTTATTTCAATCACTTAAGCTCCTGGTGAAACGATATTAATTGCAGAAGAGGAAGCATTACGACAATCAATAAGGAATTTCTTCAAACTAACGGATAATCGTCCATCTATTCCATTGCATGGAAACTTAGACTTTTTGGACTTTCAAAAGTTTTCTGAACCAAATATTTCGCTTAATTACTATTTGGAATTAGCAGTTGATCATGTTTAACCAGGCAAAAAAATCCCCTTTGAGGATTGTATACTTGTAAATATATAATAATTCTTTTTGTAATGAATGCATCAATATACTGCTTATTAATTTGAAGTGTTGGCCGTCGATCATTCTAAGATCTACTGGTGGGTATAGACATGTATTACATACATTCACGTCTAGACTAAATGCTTTCAAAACTCAGTTGAGTAGATTAATACTAAGTATTTTAAATTTATCCAGGAACAAAAACGTTTTGAAATGAATATTTGTAATACAATAACTATTAACATCGAGGACATGTTAAAATGTCTTTATTACTTTTTTAAAGATGTCTAGGGATAATATTCCGCTACTCAAACCAAATTAAACAGGACGAATATTCGGATCTGCAGTCTTGTGGTTGAAGACTGGCTGTCTTAAGCGCTGTACAAATGAACTAAGAGCCCTAATTCTAACTGTTTGGCTGTTCAAACATTGCAAAACCACCAGAATCCTACCTCTTCGCCCGCTGTCTTAGGTCGTGTCAATAAGCAAAAACTGCAAAATAACTCAGTGTCACATTCAAGTAGTTGTATTGTACCATTTGAAATGTTTTGACGAACTGTTTGTGGAACGAACGTCAGATAGGAAGCATGGAGCAACGATAGTCCTGATATAAGATGGTCTGCGTCACAACTCCGGTGAATGTACCTTCCCTCAATTAGTTTATAGTGGTCAGTTTTTCTATAAGGCTGTTTTGTGCAAGTAATCAGAGAAAGTACTTAGCGACAATAGAAAAATGTCTGGTATATCCCTCCTGATGCGAAATTTTGCTTCAGGACTGCCTCTTTATGGCTGCGAAACGTGGTCTTTGTAGGTAGAAAAAATGCCGACTTTGGTAGTATTTAAGCATAATTCTGTAAGCTTATCAAAAAATTGAGCAGGAAGAGTCGAAAACTGGAGCACCCATCATCAAGTGTAGTTTACTAGGTGATCCCTGTGAATCCGACCGCAGTTATTTTTGAGAGTACAGGGCCAGTGGAACCTCATTGGGCCCTGACCAAGTCACTCATCAGGCTGAACTATAACTGCGTCCGACAGTCCGTAGAAAATCTTGCAGTTAAGGGTTGACGAACGCTGACTAGTCAAGAGCACGCCGTAGACTGACGGATACACAGTGGTCCGTCCTTGTAGCTCATTAACTTGGTTTTGCTTAAATATCCGCTTTGTCAGCATGCATTCCAAAATGTCATCAAGGACTCCGATTTATCTGTTTGTCATTACAGGATGGTTCAATTCACGTGCCAACCACGAATTGACTTCAACGTAGGCTAGGAAGTCTTAGCGTTCCGTCCATCTTAAGCAGACCTCGTCTACTCGAATAGATTGTCTACAGTAGTGTGTTAGCGCATTCTATGTCCAGTCAGTTTACAGATCAGTCAGTCAGTAACAACGTAGAACTTCGTACGTACGTACATCAGTTCGAGTTGCCACACCACATTAGCACAGAGATGTAGTTGTCGACTCAAATTCCGTAGTGGTAGAGGTAATAAGAGTATAAGCAGTAATCGGACAGATTAGGGTTTGGAGATGTTATTTAAAGAGTATAATCCAGTGAAATAAATTTGGAAAGAGGAAAAAAGGGACATGAAGAATTCAGAAGATTAGAATTTGGGAGAACACAGAGTGGATGCACCTGCGCCATTGCAAACGATTTTGAGCCATGTCATTCAGGGTCTCTAACCATCGGTTGCTATCATCTCGTGGTTCCCAACCAGGTAGTCTACACCTACCAACATGGCTCAGTCCACTTGTCAGTGACTTCATGCACTTGTGCCATGTTTTGGCCGCCCCTAGCTTTCTTCCAACCTACTCCTATACCACTGAACATAGCACGTCGAGGCAGTCGGTCGTTGGGCATACGTAACACGTGTCCCAGCCATCTCAACTGATGAAGTCTAACTACTTCATCAATTGATTTGCCATCCTTACCTAGTACCCGTTTCCTAACAATTGTGTTACTTACTCGATGGTCCCATGATATACGAGCAATGTTTCGAAGACACCTATGATCAAATACTAGTAGCCTACGGATATCCTCTACTCTTACCGGCCATGTTTCACTGCCATAAAGTAGGACGGAACGAACTGCTGCGCAGTAAACACGTCCTTTGGTTGATAGACGGATATCTCGCCTACGCCATAAATGACGCAAGTTGGCAAAAGCTAGTCGAGCCTTCTGTATCCGTGCTGAGATTTCGTCACACACTAACAGATAACAAATTCTGAACCATTTAACCGACCTATACATAAATATGATACCCAACAAACTAAAGCACACTACAAATAAAAGTGGTTTATTCCAACATTTACGGATGAATTGAGAATATCAAAGCACTATGTCCTACAGGTTCCGAACTAGATAGCGTCAACTCTCCTTCTTCTCTATATCCTAATATCCGTATTATTCCCAATCTAAGTCAAGGTGAGGAGAGCCAATAAACACCGTTTGGTTTTTAAGAGTATACTAGTTCATTCTGTTTTACCTATACTACACGTACAGAACAGCCGTATTAACCAAGGAACACGATTTAAGGATCCATATGTAACACGTTTTAGCAATGACATACTTCCAGGATGCTAATTTGTGGACAAAACCAGCAGTAAAATCGAATATGAATGTCTCCGGTGAGTACATCTCGGAGGATGGAAACAGGTGTATAACTCTGGCAATAAAAGGTTACTAGGTAAAAATATCAAACTGGTTTATGAACTAGAGTCCATTGACGGAAGTGGTTGGATTGTACTGCGCAGGTTACAAAAAGCTTCAAAGACCTTTCTGGGATTAGAATAATCTGCGAAGAGACTAGGGAAACAGATCAAAAACTGGTGATAGGTCGGATCCAAAATCTTGAACACTATGGTAGCTCACTCATGTATCTTATCATATTGCTTCTCACAGCCGTCTTTGCATATCTTTTTATTGTGAGATGTGGTAGTATGGGCCCGGAACTAATTTGTTTCTAACCGTTCAAAGGATAGCTAGAGGCAGTGAAAAATATACTGTAACCAGCCTGAATAAAAAATCAGAAGTATTTCGTTTCCCGAGATTAGTTCGAAACAGGAGTTGTAAAGATAACTCATTAAGTAGCTTATGTGTAGAAAGTGGTATGCAAATGGAGCTGATCGCTCAGGAGTGGGAATCATTTTTTGAAAATAATACCATGCAACACATCTTTCGTAAATGAATAATGAAAAAATTGTGAGACTATGTGCATGACATTTGTTATGACCAAAAAACAGTGAAGTGACGATAATTGTGCTGTGTACGATAGAAGACAATTTGCATCGACAATACACTCGAGGAAGATGTAGCTAAACGGATAAGTTTTGGTTACCGCCTTTTTATCTACTAGTCCTAGATCCCATAGGCTACAATAAGAACCACTGCCACCAGTCTATTTTCCCCATCAACTTTAGCCAATAAAGTTTTCTACCCAAACCTCACTCGTTTATTAGGTTAATCAGAGAATAACCGAATCATGTCAGCGTAATTCTTAAATTTGGAAGTTGCAACTTACACATGTTTAATAATAGCAGATAAGAGAAAAGACATTGCATTATTATAACCAAAGCAAACTAGTATGTACAAGGAAATATTATACATTTTGCAAAGAAAGCTTTTACTCCATGTCAACGTCCTCCTCACTTCCTGAGTCTGACTCACTGCAAGTCAAATCGTCAGCATCAGCGGTTTGGTCTTGAGATAAACATTGATTAAGATTACAACCGGTTGTCAGTTTGTCTATTTTATCCTGAAGTTCATTGGTGTTTTTATTTCGAAAAAGAAGAAGTCCTTCGTATATTAGACGTGCAACTTCTTCGTGAGATTTGTCTTCACAAATAATATTTAATTCATCATCTAAATAATCTTCCAAAAAGTCGCTTATCTCATCCTCGTGTTTAGACTTCAAAACAACCTGAGGTAGATGTTCGTACAATAATCCTACTTTTTGTTGTGTATTTGGGCCTCCAGATTCCTGATTTAGACCAAGGCGCAAAGATGTCCATGAATCCAAAATCTTTTTTGTATACAACTTAAACAAGTCCATATGCTTTTAATGTCTAGATTTCATAAAGTTTCTGTTCAGCCTGAAATAATCTTGGATGCTAGAGGATTGTGGGGAGCAGTGTGTTTGATTATCGATTACCAGATCTGGTAGAGAAAAGAACAAGTAAAAATGAGTCAACGATTAGATAAGCAAATAGACTGCATTACAATAAGTAAAAGTAATTGACAAAAATTAAAAATAATGCAGATGTGAGCTTAAAACAGTTCCATTACCGAGACTAGGAGTTGATAGTGTTGTAGCACGTACTATTAGCGTTTACTTGGAAGCAGGAGCGATCTGAAACACAACACAATAGTAAGGACTCGTAAATGCCACTGAAGTAAGAAAACGGCATACTGGCACAAGAGATATATTTGAAGAATAGAAAGACGCGATTCGAGTACAAAAAGGGAACCTTATTAGGCGAGACTTAAATTTTTGGACGACCTCTGAACGAATTTTAAATGACCTTGAGAATATTAGGCAATCAGTGAACAGTAAGTATATAGTAAAAATATATTATACAAAACCAAGGAAATATAGTGGATAATTCTTATTCGTGGTTCAAAAACTTGTCAAGGTTAAAAAAAGTTCAGAGGTTCTAAAATCGTAATGCATGCAGTGGAGGAAATCATTCATACGACTACAGAATAGTCGGCATCCGTAGCCATGATAAAGTCTCAAAAACTCTTTCAGCCTCGACCACATAGTTTCAGTATTGTTTATGTGCACTTCGGTTGTTGAGTACACAAAATGCTACTTGTGGATAACGACGCTATGCACATGATCAAGCCTATGTATGAGTCTGTAGGCTCTCCAGCCATCCTTATATATTGTAGTGCCTAGCTGCAGCCAGTGTTACTGGTACTTTTATTATCTAGTTCGCGATAATTATCATAATTTGCCTCAGTTAGGAATTACATATGGGGTTTTCATCACGAACTGGCATTATGCTGTTTTGGCGTGCTGCCATACACAACAATATCACCAAGGTTAATTAAGCACCTGTGTGGTACGAGGCCGTGTGGAACTGTCTGCATGAGTCGTCGGAAGGTGTCTGGGGTATTAGTTAGCCCGAAGGGCATCAGTTGAAATTCATATGAACCATCGGGTGCAATGAATGCGGTTTTTTTCTATCTTGAGGTTGAACCTCCACTTGCCAGCACCCTGAAGCTAAGTCTAGAGTCGAGAACCAGCGAGCGCCTTTCAAAGCATCTAATATAGCATCAATCCGCGGAAGTGGAAAAGGATCGCGTTTGGTTATAGAATTAAGGCGTCGTTAGTCTACACACAAACGTTGGGAGGAGTCTTTCTTTTTCACTACAACAATAGGCGATGCCCAGGGTGATGAAGATGGTACAATAATCTATTTTTCTAGTATATCTTTTATCATCGATTCCAACTGAGGCTGATAATGTACTGGTACTCTGCGAGGTGGTTGTCGTAATGGCATATGGCCACCTGTGAGAATGGAATGTTGTACAGTGGTCGTCCGATTTCCGGAGATATTCTCCCAAAAGACAGAACTAAATCGTTGGAGCACGTCAATGGTTGCTCGACGGTCTTTTTCGCTTATTATTTGATTATCGTGTATCTGACGTACAATTTCTGAAATCCCTACCTTTGTTACGGGTTCAATTGACATTTCATGGTGTTGTAGGTGCACGGCAACGCCACCAACTTCTGATTTACCCATATGTATGGAGACCTGATATTTCAACATGTAGTCAACTCCGAGTATCATGTTCCAAGTCAATGTGGGGTAAACCAAGAATTCATGTTGAAAAGAATTCTTGTCTATCGTTGACTGCAACCCTATCTTAGAACACGCTTTCAGACGGTCTCCGCTTGCCGTAATTAGTGCAGAGGAGCATTGTTTCCGCTGCGTCTTGTAGTTGAGTTTCTGTAAGAAGTCTTCCTTAGTCAGGGATACTGAAGCCTCCGTATCCAATAGTATATCAGTCTCAGTGTTTTGCAATTTACCTCTAATAGTAACTGGACATACATGTTTAACATAGCAAGAAGATATATGATAACGACACGTTTTGCCTGTGTTCTGTACACGATTATGCCCGCATTTCCGGGCTCTTCGACCGAAACTTTGGCAATAAAAACATTCGGTTCTTCGATTCTGTTGATTATTTCGCGGTGGTTGTCCCAACGGACGATAACTGACTGCAGAAAGTGTTTGTGCAGGATCGAACTGGCACGCGACCCCCGACTCTTGAATGGCCATCGCCATCGAATAGATTGAAGTTGTAGTGCTCGACAACTTGTTGGTAGTCGTTAATCGAAAGGTTGTGGTTTTTAAGGCCTGTATACTTTTAGGTGACATGCATAAGATGTGCTGGCGCAGTGCACCAGGCGAAAGCCCTTCTACAAAACGTGAGCGTACAAGTTCTTCTCGGACCGAAAATTCGAGGTTGGGAAAAGCTTGGATGGGTGCTTGATGTAGGGAATGGCGTTAGTCGGTTGGTTCCTCACTCGCCGTCTGGCGTAAACATATACCTTTTTATATTATTTAATAGTTTATTGTAGCTAAAAATCAACTCAAATCTTATCAGTTGAAACCGCCCTAGCTCTTCAAAAAGGACAGTGATATTTTCCCTCGCAGAGATAATTTTGTTATCTCAATCGTTAATTATGCATCAGAAATGCTGTTTTCACTTTAAGTGAGTTTATTCTAGTCAACGTAATTTGTCACTGACACTATTGAGTACATTGGTTTTTTGGTATTTGTTTGCACTCTTGGTCCTAACAATTTATACTTTTCATTATTACTAGTCATCAGTTTCACTTTGTTTCTGTGTATCGTTTTTATCTGTTATCTGTTAAAATTCTATGTTGGATGACTGTACAGTGCCAAAAAGCAGTCGATAACTCTCAGGCTGCCGATACCTCTTTGAAATGGCATGCAGTGTGGTGAGTGCAAAGGTTGATACCACAAAGTATGGACGAATCTGACGCCTGTAGTTTTCAAACGTTTTGGCAAACATAGCTGATTGTGGATGTATTAGCAGCCATTTTCAAACACAAATAGATTGTTATCCGATGTAACTGAAACGGTGAATGTTGCTAAAAGGTATATTAGCATACGAAACCGAGACACATCAAACAGTCGCTAAACAAACTGATGTGAAGTTACCTCAAATAAGCTCACAGTTAATTGACTTACATGAGCCAAAGGATGAAGGACGGCTTATAAAGAGGTCTGTTAGAAATGAAAGTTCAAGAAATGAAATTTTTTCTATGCCTCTCCCTCCAAATAGCAGCGGTCATTCAACGTCTGGAAAACTAAATCGCATGGTTAATTCTGTTTCTAATAGAAAAAACAAAAATATGACAACTCAAACCATCGACAGTCATCCAAGATTCCTTAATGTGTATAACGCATCTATGATTGCTACTCCAATGAATGTTTGTGAATGGGTACAAATCACGTTTATTAGCATCCATAAGATTAGTGAGTTATCTGTCTACTTGTGGTTGAAAAAAATGATATGGCATTTATTAGGAATAATGTGTCTTCAAACATTAGAGTGATTCGGGATTTGAATATGATGATAAGGAGCATAAGGCCATGACTAATAATCAGTGAATAATGGCAGGGGATAAACCACATGTTCTGCAATTTAGTTATATTTATATTATTAATGATGGGGTTCGTTATGTTCTTGTTCAGTTTAGATATTAGGCTGTCCATAATAAAGTGCTTCATTGGTGTGCAGGAGTTCGTGGAATAGTTGGTGAGGCTCTTTAGAATCTGGTAACAAGGTTATCAACATTTTGAATTCGAAAAAGTTGTCACAGTTACCGGAAGAGATTGGCAACTTGTTCCATGATAAGCTATACCGCATCACAAAGAACTTACAACGCATTTGTTTTTGGTGTTTTGCAGTAAGTAGTGTATATGTGTTGTCTCTTAGTCTGTAGGCTGGGTCATGGATCGTAGTCATGCAGGAGGTTAAAAATGAGAGTCTACATATTGCTTTGTAGAGAAATATTAGATCGATCCTTAGCCTCTGGTGCCACAAAAGTGGTAAAGGGGGGTGCTTACATCTATCTGTGTAATTGAGAGTGGAGTCACATCCTAGCGGTTGGCGTGCGAAGCCTTTTTAACATCTATTATCTTATATGTGGTATTTATATTTCAGATGATAAAAGAGCAACATTCAATGGGGGTTCGTACACATGTTTTGTAGAGTGTAAGCTCAGCCTGTTGTGAAAATTTTTTCGTCATGAAACCACTTAGCCGTCTGCATTTAGAAACAATAGGGGGAGCATATTCTTTAAAGTTCGTGCTTCTTGTGTAATTAATTTCTAGATCGTGTACTGATTTGAGTGTCTGGACTTTACTCTTATTTAAGTGACGTTGTAGTTTATAGGGATGACTTCCAAAAATGCTTGATCTCTCACTTGTTGAGGTTAAATATTAATTGCCGGTTTTTGCTTCAGATAGTTAGGTTATTGAGGCCACTTTGAATTCGGGATACACTCACTCAGAGCTTAAGGCTTATAGCTGTACGGCAATTTGAGGTCATCAGCATATAAGTATGGTTTCCCAAATTTTATGGTGTTACATATATCGTTTATATACATAAGAAACAAAAGTGGACCTAATACGCTTCCCTGGATGACTCCACTGGTGTTTGGTCTAGGTGATGAGAAAGAGTCATTGTAAACCATGAATAGAGTGGGTTGTTTATTCCAAAGGACTGTACGACCCACACATATTGATTCGAAACGTAGACCATCATTTCTAGACTCTTTCTTTACATGCCACTGTGATGAAGTCATCGACATTCAGTACCTTCACCCATGAAAATGTATTCGAGTTGGTATTACCAATTGTGGTCGAATTGGGATTACCAATTGTAGCGTGGCGTCGAGTTGAGATTAACTATGAACACCGCTACCAAGAAACACGTGCCAAGCGAATCAGAAGGCGTAAGAAGCTCGTTCCAAATGACTCCATAAAATCCCCGAGAAGCCAAATATCAGAAGACAGTTAATGGACCAAGTCGAGGTTTATTAGCTGGCGATCTCGTGGCATCGAAAGGATACCGAGATCGTGCCAGGATACAACCTTGGTTACAGAAGGTAACCGAATTCGCGCGAAGTTACAATCGAAGTGAAAGCGAAAGAATGGAAGCACAAAATAGCTGTCATTAGCACAGTCAAACAAAAGCACGTTGAAACAAACACTGGTACAGTTGGTTATAATAATAATTGTTTTTATTAAACCAGTCGTGTTCTCGTGATAAACGTGAGTCACTACAGGAGCCCCCCGCTAGAAAGGGTTTACACTTTCGATAAATAGCGGTTTGAATCGTGGGACTGATTGGCTGACGAGCGATTGTAGGACGGAAGAATTGGCGAACAGGAAAGCGATAGTTGATCGTCGAGTTGCCAACGAAGGTCGTTTTCGGAGAACAGTACCAGGAGCGATGTGCTGTATGTATTGCTTGAGTTGGCA